AGATCTTCCAACTTGAGATATTCTATGATTCCACGATCAAGCTAAGCCTTGAAACTCACTGTGTTGTTTTTTTTTTTTTTTAACGTTTTCTGGGGAGTGTGGGAAAATGGTGACATGAGCCATTCCCTAGACCATTCCCTAGACCAGGAAGCAAGACATTAAGTTGGCTGGACAAGTGAGTTGATCCAGGGGGAGGACCCAGGGGTCAGGATCACATACAATAATACCACGTGAGATATCCTGTCTCAGTCCCACCTGTTGACTGCAGCATGGTCCTTGCACTACATCACCCAGACTACCAGCCTCTGCATGAAGTGAGTAGTGAAATAACGAGTGTAACTGCCATTCTTCTCTCTGTGCATAGCGTGAACGCTGCTTATGAAGCACCCACCTACGAGGAGGTGATGACCATGTCAGTTCCAGCCATATGGACGATCGCATCCAACCCAGGCTTAGTGCCCTCACCACTGAACGAGCCGCCTCCTTACAACGTGGTTATTCAATCCTCTGCCCAAGAAGAGATGATGGTGGAGACTCTCAGGGTGACAGTGGCACCAGACACGAGGCACGCCTCAGAGCCAGACAGGGGCTCCAGGGTGCAGCTGCAGCTGGTGCTGCCCCCAAGACCACAGCGGTTTGTGTCGGACATACATGAAGTGAAAGGGATTGAAGACAGATTTGAGCCACTGGAGCCACTCACTCCACCACCTGCTTATGAGAGTGCCATCAACGATGAGGTCTTTGAAGATGCTTTCCAGCCCTCCACCTTATGATTAATTTCACCTTCTATGGATGCAGAACCAAACCCTCACCCCAACACAGGGTGCTCCTGGAGGGAAGGTGAAAGAGCTAAGATTTTTCATGCCCAAAACTGTAAAAGTTTGTCTCACCATTCTTCGAACCAAAGCTGAACTACGGACACAGCTTCTGATCTCACTAGAATCTTTTTGCACAAAACACAGAGGAATGCAACACCACAATGCTTTGTCTTGGCAGATACCTAAAACCAGTGAGGAAAGTTGTGTTACCTACAGCGACAATTCTGAAACTGGAGATGTACCTATACGGGGGAGGAGCATGAATCATGACAAGAGACAAGGTTGCCAAAGGACCTCTGAAGAAGGGCTGTAGGATACAGCCAGGAGAAGTTGCCTCAGAAACAGAAGGAATAGAAACAGCACTAAGTAGGTTCTGCCTGTGCATTGCAAACAGCAGTATTGCAGAGGGGAGGGTGGCTGTCTTCATCCACGGCCAACACCACCTGATACCCGTCACTTGGCGCTGAAAAGCTGACGGCAAGCACCCCACCATTAAATTCCTTCTATTGTTCACAAGGTTCCCATCCCGCATGGCCTCCAGGTGGTGGGCAGGACGGAGAGAAATGCAGTTTTTCTCCTGTAAGACAGGCTGGCAGTGGGATACATACGTATAGAATCATAGAATGGTTTGGGTTGGGA